TGGAACAGTGCCTTCTGGGTTGTCCGGTCACTCCGGAGTACAATCCTGTTTGCGGTTCCAACGGAGTCACTTACTCCAATCCTGGGAGATTGCTTTGTGCTCAAGCTTGCGGCGAAAGTGAGTACAGATAAAATATGATTTACACAAATGATTATTGAATTGCATTAAATATAGGTACAGTCAAATAATTGACATAAAGATTTTTTTAGTTGTTTGACGATCACAACTTTTGCTGTATTTTTTTAATGCTTTTTTTTAATTTATGTTTTAGATGTCAACCTACTCAGAACATCGCCCTGTCCGCGGACATAGAATATAATGATTAATGTCATATTATGTTAAGAAATAAAATAAGTTCCGAATTTCCTTGCATTTTTTTTAATTCAAATGAATGAGTGACTTTACTACTTGGCGTCGAAAATTAAGCAAAATTACGAGGCAAGCAGTCGACGGAAAATATATAAAAATATTACGTACTTCTGCATTCACAATTAATCCACCAATTATATAACTCCATTTTGATTTCTTTATATGCCCTTTGGTTGTCATTGTTATCCAGTTATCAGTCATGGCTTTTACCTTTACCGATTCAAATTCAACTTTCTGCCATTTAACTTTTTTTATTAACCGTGGGTTTCTGACATCAAAATCCCGGTTTAAAATAATCTCTGTTTTTTCAAAGATGAAAGACATGGATGACGATATATTTTATAAAGATATAGATTATGATATAGAGATTTAATGTCGGAGACCCACGGTTGGTAGTTTGAAGTCAAAAATATAAATTTTAGTCACCTCTATTATCAAAGTAATTAGGTTTTATGACAATAATACACCAAGTAATAAGTTTTCACAAGTATAATATGACTATGATACTCATTTATGTGATAACTATTTCATAATAAACATGCACTTGCAAATCATACCGTAAGTTTTCACTGTTGATTTCTATTCATTGATGAAAGAGTTCTACAAGAAAGATAGTGAAACCCCACTTTAAAACATGATTACATCAGTGACAATTGTAAAAATAAATACTATTCACACAAAATAAAAAAAATATTCCTGGATACTTAGATGTTAATTTTTATACATGTATCGCCAGTGTATGTCCCAGGCGAAGAGCTCGATACTACTACTTACAAGTAACATGTCTATAGTCAAACAGGTTGGTTCAGTGAGATTGCATTTTACTTATTGGTAAGTATTTTTAGACATTATTAGTTATAATCCTTTAGCGCGAATGACGTTCTTTCGTAACAAAGTTCAGTGTCAGAATGAAATAGTGAGGGGACACAAACTTCGACATTTTAGTAAGGCTAGCGTTGAGTCAGTGAAGGCTCATTTTCGGAATTTCTTCCTAACAGTTTTTAATTGATTTAAAAAATATGAGATATTTGTAACACAATAATAATAGACGTAGTTGTTAATCCTATAAAGTCAATAATCAATTTAAAGCCAATAGGATAAATCTCATATACTATAATTCTTAATGGCCAGGCATTAATAAGCGCCCTAAACACTTTTGCTTGTGTTCGGGTGTTTGCACACAGACTGAAGTCTATAACAATTTGATCGAGATATTCTATAGTATTTTTACGAACTGATAGAACATCTTCACATATAAACGATACTATACCCATTACAGTTATTTCCGTTACAGTCCATATGACAATATTATAAAAAGAAATAGAACATTTTCCCGACCAGACACAATAAAAACACGCCCATGTTGAAAACACAATAACCACAAAACAAGATGTCAACATCATAAATAGTTGGAAATTAAAATCATTGTTTAACATATGCATAATTTCACCTACTTTTATATATGCTATTGCTAATTTACGGATTTCAATTTTACGATCTTCAATACGTTTATTCAATTGTGAAACATTGATAAATGTACTTTTCTTAAAACTTTGATTATCTTTTTTTAAATAACTTAATAACTTATCATTTAATATCACCATTCTCTTTTTTAACATGTAAATGAAACGACATAATAATGTTATTTCTAAATTACGTTCAATATAAGCAAACAAAAGTATAAATTCTACAGTTTGTAAGTTTGACTCGTAATATACGTATAAAGTTAATTGCAAAATATGCAATGAAATAAAAAAAAATGTCAACTTTATTATTCCTGCTCTTGATTTGAGGTAAAAGTCTTTGGCGACATGGATACACAATGTTTTATCGATTTCTGCAAACCTCTTCAAGATTTGTAATAACGAATTGTTACAAGTAAAATATAAAAGTATTAACGTAACGTAATATTGTAGTAGAAATAATATCGGCGACAAAGCTGCGGTTATATTAAAATCAATTCCCATATCTGGAATTTTTACATTTAACAAGAAGTATAAAATACTAATCGTACAAACGATGACGCCGAAAATCTGTAATTTTTTTACATTTTTAATTGTTTTCGGAACATATCTGAAAATACAAAACACGTTCTCGAAAATTAGTAACACTTTAACTGATTTAATTATATTCTCAATTTTGTATCGATCAGGTCTATTAGACATTTTCAAGTAAGTCAAATTGATGTCTATTATTTGAAGTTTAGTTACACGAACTAATAGTTCTTGTTGCAATAGACTCGTGGAACTCAGTAAATGTAACTGACTAACAACTGAAACTTCTAGTGAACTAATCCATTAACTTTATCGCAATTAAATTAATTGTTGTTTGCAAACTAAAAAATAACACGTCACATTTATCGAATGCTAACAGATGACCATGCGAAACTTAATTATTATAGAAAATGAATTGGAAATTCCATTATAAAAAGGTCTGATTTATCATCATCAGCTCGCTATAAGTCCCCACCGAGGGAGATTAAGGATGATTAGGCCATAATCAACCACGCTGGTCAAGTACGGGTTGGCTGAGTCTGATTTATACACACTAGTGAGTAATAATACACCAAATTAAGCAGCCACAAAAGGTTTGTACTAAAATCACAAATTTATAGAGACTTTTTCGTTCAAAATAAACTTTTTATGTTAATTGTTTTTGTAAAAAAAAATTTTTTAATCAATTAATCTGAGTCACTTTAAGTAACATTTTTAATAGTCTTACTAATAATATAAATGCGGATGTTTCGATAGATGTTTGAGAGAACACATCTACGATTATTGAACGGCTGTATGGATCTAGCTGAAATCTATATATAAAAGAAAGTCGTGTTAGTTACACTATTTATGACTCAAGAACGGCTTTACGGCTATAGTTGAAAATTGGTGAGGAGGTAGCTTAAAGCCAGGAGACGAACATTTTTTTTTATATCAAAAGGTGGCAAACGAGCGAGCGCCCACCTGAAATCGCTGAAATAGCGAAGTGACCGTTGCGTTGCCTGCCTTAAAACGAACATAGTACTATTTATTCTTTTTTTTCGAATTTATGCCTTGAAGAGCTGCTTTTTATTTAACTTATCTATATATTAAATTTTTATATGTCCTCGCAAACGGAGTCGCGGGTCAGCGAGTTTAGTATAAATGTAGAGCATAGTCTGGAAAAATACATAGGCTACTAATTATTTTTTTTTGCATTCCGTGTATACATAAATTAGGCTTATTAGATAGGTATTTAGATCCTCGAACCCCACAAAGATTTTGTACCACAAGCCACACTCTCTGTATATCTAATACGTTTATGACAATTGAATGTCAAAAATGTAATTAGTATAATGTAAAGTTTATTACTTAAATATAATTACGATTGATATAAAACTGCCTTATCGTGATATTGACAACCATTTATTTAGAACAGTATATTGTTTTCTATGTACTAATACATTTGAATTCGTCAGGAATAGTTGTTTTACAAGAATATTTGGTAATACGAATCTTAAAACAAAATGGAACTTAAGAAGCAAACAAATTTTGACAACACGAGGTCTCTCGTTGTAAAAAGCATGAAGCCTTTGTTATGTATTGAGTATTGTTATGGTATATTCAGATGTGGGCTGACTGAAGGATGTTCATATGCTCTTGACTTAAGAATGAAAATACTCGGAATAGCTATCACTATGATATGGGTAACAGTTTATTTTGGGTCCATTGCATTCCCATTTGAACGTGATGAACAGATATTACGATTGGAGGATAAAATTATTTTTATGTTGATCGGCTTTTCTTACGCGAGCTCCTCAATAGTTTTTGTTTTGTTTCACAACCACAAATATCAGAAAGCTATAGAAATCCTTGCTGGTGTTGATATTGCACTTTTTGCAAATATAGATCGTAAAGTTTATAAAATGTCATTTAGACAATGCAAAATATTATTCGCTTTATTTATTTTTCATTGTATTATTTGGCTCGTTTTATCAAAGTATTGTACTGAAGGTTTTTACAGCTATGAATATTTATTATTTATTTTAATTAATTTCGAAAGGAAAATTGAAATGCTCGTCTTTTGTCAATTTCTTTATATACTTAAACAAAGATTATTGTTAATTAAAAATTACTTGAATATAATATCATTTCATCGAAATTATGACAATTTTACGGTAAATATTAAAAATCGGATTGATTTTAATTTTATTGGACATATTTCTAGTACTAATTATAAAATACGTGATCTAGCACATGTATATACTAAAATAGGAAAGATATTTATGTTAATTAATGAAATTTTCAATTACTACATAATGACGACTCTGGCCACGGCGTTTATAACAATCATAATAGTCGTTTGGTCTCTTCTAAACGAATATAAATTTTACAAAACCTACATAATAGAGTCAATACCGACGGTGTTTTATATTTTTCTGGAATTATCATCGATAATTTTGTTATCATGTTACTGTGAAAATATTATTGCAGCAAGAAACGAACTGAACAAATTGCTATTAAATATCACAACGCAAGAAAACCTTCCATTACAAATGATATATCAATCAAATATGTTTGTAAAATTGACAGAGATATGGCATTTATCAATTAATGGATTTCACATGTTCGATATTAATTTACAACTAATTCTTAAATTTATAAGTATTTGCACTTCATACTTAATTGTAGTAATTCAAGTTTATCGTTTAATATAACAAATGTATATTCCTAGATACTTTTTTCAATAATGTTTTCAGAATTAATACTTTGTTATAGGGTTCCGTACCTTGAAAGGAAAAGACCAGAATCCTTATAGGATCCGTTTGTCAAGGCCCTATTTTTAGAGTTACGTCACTACTAACCTGCTACTCGTTTGATTGCAAATATATTTCTAATACCTAACTGAATTATATGTTTTATTAATGTGTTTAGTGTGATATAATTAAATGGGTTTAAATCTTGAGTATATACATCGTTTAATTTCTGCTCCTTATTTTTTTATATGATATGGTCGTAAACGAACAGGCGGTCACTTAAATATACTGAAAAAGCGAAGCCACAACACGACAGCCGACATCCGCCGACAACCGTCAGCTTGTGCTACTCGACAGGTTTTGTTTTATTTATCTCTCCGTCTGCATAATAAGTAGAATAAATACTATATTAATAACTTTGCAAAATTGAATGCAAATTGAATTGCAGTAGAACCGTTTAGGCTACGGAAGTCGCAATGTAAAGGACACAATATGTTATTATTACATATTTACAGTTAGGAAGAAAATCCGACGCTGTGCCGGTGTATCGGCGCAACACTAGCTTTATTAAAATATCAACGCTTATGTCTCCACACTAATCAATCTGACACTTGACTTGGTAACGAAAGCGCGCCATTCGCACTAAATGATTCCAACTAATAATGCCTAAAATTACATATGTATACACTTGTATGACAAAAACAACACCCTATATTAAGTATACAACAATGTTGAAATACTAAAATCAATACTGTTCAAGTATATGCTTTTCAAAACCAATCAATTAACGGATAACATCAAACACCGATATTATGAATTATTAAACAATAAAAGAAAGACTTTTATCTTGATAATTTGAATATATTAAAGTAGTTGTTTTCATTTGATGTCAAACCATATTTGAAGTAACCGTTGGAAAATTATTAAACATTTTTACAAAAACAAAAAAATGAAAATAAAACAACATTCAACTATTGATTCTGTCAGTACATGTATAATACAATGCATGAGATCTTTGATATTTATTGAATATGTTTACGGTATATTTAGATGTCGCTTGAGTGGTCGATTGACAGATGCTATTGATTTGCGAATGAAATTCATCAGCGTAATTGTTACGTCATTATGGCTAACAATTTACTTTTTAGAAGTCATACCATACCTTGGAGGACTATTTAAGGAAGCAGTCGCAACACTACAATGCTTGAGTTGGATGATAACTGGATTTCAATATGCAGGAACGATTATATTATTAGTTTTTTGGCAATCAGAGAAAAATCGAAATGTTATTGAAATGTTTGCTAGCATTGATATTTCGTTACACGCAGGCATGAATCACAATTTTTACAGCATGTCATTATATGAATGTAAGAAATTATTAATTATATTTATACTCTTTTGTGTCTTATTAATCGCTATATTTATTTATTTCATTATAAAAAGTCACCTTGTAGGAAATATAGCACTTCTTATTGTTTATTTCGAAAACAAAATTGAAATAATTGTGTTCTGCCAATTTTTGTCTATGATAAAACAAAGATTGTTTTTAATTAATGATTATTTAAATAAGATTACATTGAATCGAACACATAGAATTTTTGTGCAAAAATCGGAACGTAATGTGGATGTCAATTTTATTGGACATATTTCCAATGATAATTTTAAAATTCGTGATTTAGTTTTTTTGTACTGCAAAATAGGAAAGCTGTATAATTTAATTAATAATATTTTTAATTATTTAATGTTTTCAACACTGGCCAATGCTTTTTATATTATCATAATAAACACATGGATCTCTTTATACTATTCAAAATTAAGTCATAACTTTTTAGTTTCACTTCCAATGTTGTTCAGTATCTTATTCGAATTACTTTTTGTAAATATTATTGTATATTATTGTGAAAATATAATAGCTGCCAGAAATGAGATAACAAATTCTCTGCACGAAATCACCAACAATAAATATTTACCGGTATATATGAGAAAGCAAGCGGAAGTCTTTTTGGATTTAATCAAGGTGTGGCCCATGTCACTTTACGTTTTTAATATGTTTGATGTGAACTTTAAATTAGTTCTAAAATTTATAAGCATTTGTACCACCTATGTTATTGTTGTAATTCAAATTAATGATCTTATATAATTTAATTTGGTAATTAATAAACGTAAAGTACATACACACTTTTATAACTGTCAGTACGCTTTCTTGCACATCTCGCTTTAAACGTGGTATTCCACTGATGAAACATATGTCCAAGAACGTAATATCAAACCTCTCAATTTGTTGTTTACTGTTTTTGTGTAGTTCCTCTTACAGTGGAAATCCCCAATATATAAGTTAACTAATTAAAAAAAAAATGATTTGCCTAAACAAATTATATTATTTGCAGTATTAGGAGACTCACTAATTGTAGGTTTGGTTTGGGTTGTTTTATTACATTAAGAAAATTTGTTTGTTAAATTTTTTGATACTTTGGTAAGGGTATGATTCCACTGTCGCGACATTAATATAGTAGTGCTTTTTCTAAAGTAATTAAAGAATGACAATATATTTATACAAAAGACAATGCAATGGTATTCGTAACGATGACGATTTTTAAAATTTCGATTTCATTCATTGTTCGACGAAACTTGAAATTTTCGATTTAAAATTGTCAAGTTTTGTCAGTAGTGAATAAAAAAAACGAACCTTCATTAACGTTTAGTTCGATACATTTTTACGAATTATAGGAAAGTAATTCGTCTCAAAGTTATTACATACCGTATTGATTATTCAGTACAGATAATATCAAAATGTATTACATAAAAATAATTATATTTAATGAAAAGTTTCTTATCTTTGTACTAGAAAGAAATTAAAATAGACATAATGTCGTATTTGATGTCATATTCGTTTCAAACACGTTGATGAACAGATATTTTGTTACACATTTGTTACTTAAAATTTTTCCAAAATGAATACTAAGCAACAATCTACTGTTGACATAATAAGTGCTTCTATTATAAATTGTATGAAACCGCTGTTGTACGTTGAATATTGTTATGGGTTATTTAGATATCGTTTGGGCGAACGATCTTCAGATGCAATTGATTTGCGAATGAAATTAATTAGTATAGCCATAACCTCAACATGGATAATTACATTTTTCTGCGTTGTTTTTTATGATCAAATAGTGTTTACTAATGTGGTCATGGTAGCAGATTATTTGATCTCCTTTTTGATTACGGTTGGATACGCATTTTCTACGATTTTATTAGTTTTGTGGCAAACTCAATATAATAAAAAGGTAATTGAAATGTTCGCCTGTATTGATATTTCTCTCCATGCAAGTATTGACCAAAATGTTTACAAGATGTCATTTCGTCAGTGCAAAATATTATTTACAATATATATATTATTCTGTTTAATTTGTATCGCTATTTATGCTTATTTTTCATCAAATGATAACAGAATTGAATATTTATTATTTTCTTTAATTTATTTCGAAAGAAAAATTGAATTATGTGTGTTTTGTCTATTTTTATATATGCTTAAACAGAGATTGTTGTTGATCAAAAATTATTTAAATAAGTTAACAGATGTTGGAATGTTGAGACATAATAAAGTTAAGAAATTGGACGTCGACTTTATTGGACAAATTTGTAACGAAAATTACAGATTACGTGACTTAACATCTGTGTATTGCAAAGTTGGAAAAACTTGTATGTTAATAAATAAAATTTATAATAATTTAATTATAATGACGTTGGCTACTGCATTTATATTTATTATAGTAATTTCATGGACCATCTTATATAGTCATAAGTTTAATAATAATTTTATAGTTTCATTATCAATGTTGTTTTATCTTGGTACTGAATTTATATCGATAATATTTATGACATATTATTGTGAAAATATTACTATAGTACGTAATAAATTAATATGTATATTATATGAAATGAATCGTGGCGATCTACCAATAAATATGAGAAAACAAGTAAATGTTTTTGTGAAAATAACAAATGTATGGCGTTTATCAATTAATGTATTCAATATGTTGGATGTTAATTTAAGTTTAGTACTTAAATTTGTAAGTATTTGTACTTCTTACTTAATTGTAATAATTCAAATTAATCGTTTAATTTAGTTAGTGTGTTTAAAAAACGCTTGATTTATGTAAACTCATATTATGACTTTAAACACATTTGTAACATTATTTTTTCACGTAATAAATTGTGTGTTCTGAAAATATGCGATTTAATTTTTTTTATGAAATTAACTAATTACTTATACTAAAATACGTTTTTCCAAAATCCAATATTAATGCACTGATAAGTAACTCTGGACATATTTAATTTTTTTTAATTTAGTTACTTTTATCTGGCGACAGGTGCAGTTTTTATGTCTATCGTTCTGCAACGAACATTAAATTAATTATTAATAGGATAGGAAGTGGACGTGGTCTTTCCGGATGAGAGGATGCGTGGAAAGGGAAAATATAGGACGACGCATATGCAATTGCGTATGTCTATGGGCAGCGCTCGCTTCGCTGTTTCAGCGATTTCAGGTGAACGCTCGCTGTTTGCCACCTTATGATATAAAAAAATATATATATTTTCATAGATTATTTATTAAATATATTTGCTACAGAAAATGTGTAACTTGAATAACCACAATCAAATATGATGCACATAAACTTATAACTTTAAATATACTTTGCAAATCTGTACTAAACATGTCATAAACGTAAATTCGAAGTGGCCAAATTTTTAACGTTTCCATAAATACTTTTGCTTGCACCCTCATATATTTCGGTAGGTCATAATCCATAACAATTTCGTTAATTAAAAGTATCGTTTTTTCTTTAGCACGTAGTAGTTTGTCACAATTTAAAGACAACACTACCATCGCAACTATTTGGGTATAGCTCCAAACCATTATTCTTAATAAATATCTATATGTTTTGTTCGATTGAAAAGAGTACAACGATGTCCAAAACGTAATTATTATAAATGAAAATGAAGCAACGAAAGTTGTTAATATCAGTGAATTAAATGTCCTGTTTATTATTTCACATATTTTGCCAATTTTATAATACGTTACTGTCAAATCAAGAATTTTCATATTATCATCTGAAGCACGTCCAATAAAGTTAACACAATCATCAATAACATAAACGTTATTATAAGAATTAAGTTTAAAAGTTTTCATGTAATGTTGTTGCGTTATAAATCTAGTAAAATATCTGTTTATTATTACCACACGTTTTCGAAGCATTCCAATTAAAATATAAAAGAACAAAACTTCTAATTCAATTTCAAAATATATAATGACAGATAAAAAATATTCTATCTTAAGTTCTACTTCATTAAATGTATCGAAAATCGTCAGAGAAATGTACGAAACACTGAGCACGGATAAAAGTATTATAGTCTCCACTCGCGACTTCTTATAGAAATCATCATCCATGTTAACACGTAAAGAACAATCGATATCATGTAGTAAGGTGATTAAGTTAACAAAATCATGATTCTCGACAAATAATTGCATAATTATTGTTACTGTATATTGTAAGAAAATCAATAAACTTGGTGCAACTTCAGCAAACCTAGTAATATTGCTATCAGTAATGAAATCAGTAGTCAACATTGCACAGAATATGGCAATAAATAAATATATTAAAACTCCAATAATTCGCATTCTTCGATTAGCTGGTAAACACATTTCTCCGTCGACGCGAAAACGGAAAATTCCATAACATCTTTCTAATAAGATTATAGGTTTGATAGTAGACAGTTCACGGTTCTTGGTATTCGATGATGTTAACACATTCATATTATTATTTTCTTGTTCTGCTCGACACTTTTGATATATGTTCTGTCGTTAAGCTATTGCTATTGACATTTGACAGGAACGTAGAAATTTATGTCTTTATATGTTAGTTACTTTAATATATAGAACATAAGATATTTATCTATATAATTCCGACCATTATGTTTATAGAAATTGTTCATTTATGCATAACGCGTTTATATTTTAATATACACTAATGTATAGCAAAGTAACGCGTTAATAAATATTAAAAGGTGAATATACACTAGAGCATTTTCTCCAGCATTTGTATGTAATATAACGTTCTTACGAATTGTATAATATAGGTTCGTTGTCGTCGTTGCGGTTCGTTGTTCTGTTATAATCAAATGCTCTAGTCTGTACTCACCTTAATGTGAATAAGTAACATAACATAAACGAAATGTAACAAAATTATCTAATTCAGAAAAGATGTAATATAAATGATAAAAGGACAATAATTATGATAAATATATAGTGAAAATATCTTAATTTTATTGTAATTGACCATAAAATTCTCTTACATTGTTAATAAAATCAATCTATCAGATGGTAAACTCCGAAACAATTTATTTACATTATTCAATATTTCTTCGATACCATATTTAACAATTGGATCGCCAAATTCTTCAGCAACCATAAGCCAATTTTTATTCATAAAATCTAGAACCATTTTACCTGAAAGTTAAATAATTTTCTTATATCTTTAACACGTTTTGACAAGTTGCACGAATCAAGCTAATACAACAATCCACAGTACGTTCCTACTGTTGAAACAGCATTATAAAACTATATCGCTATCTCTATTTTTCTCTACAAGAAAGACAGGATAAAAAAATGTTAGTCGTGTAAATCTCTCGGCAATAGAAGCCCATGTTTAGGTTAAAAGAGAAAAATATAGTACTTACTCAAAACAGGGTTTCCTTTGAAGATGTTTGTAAAATTGTAGGAAACTTGTTCTTTAAATGTGTGCGTTGATTTGATTTTACTTATTTCTATATGCTCGCGACCATTACTGGCTAGTTTTGGAATTAATTGAATACTTGTTTTCATTTCTATACGACCTAGAAAATATTTCATTACATTTAATGACAATGGACTATTTAAATTTTCTTACAGTATATAAGTTTAATTATAACTATAGTAAATTTAACAAAAAATTATTAGCTATAATTATCTAATTTTTTTTTATTTATATAATTTGATTAATTACACATAAATATGTTAAATATAAATAAGAAAAGAATTTACAATAACAATTTTAATGTACATTTATCTACATGTAATGTCTTTAATATAATTCTACTAGCTGTCGCCCGCGACTCCGTCCACGCGAGATTCAAAAAAGATGTTGGTCGATTCTCAGACCTACACAATATGCTCACAAAATTTCATGTGAATCAGTCAAGCCGTTTCGGAGGAGTATGGGAACGAAAATTATGACACGAGAATTTTATATATAAGATATAAATAATATAACCAAAGTCTGTAGAAAAAGTTTGATGAATTTTCTTTAAAACATAGATATGAATAGTTTGAGTAGCGGTTGCCCGCGACTCAGCCCGCAAGAAATTGAAAAAAGAAAAAAAAATAGTAGCCTATGGTTTCTTTCAGACTATGTTCTATATGTATGTCGTTCTAAAGATACCTTCAAACAAACATCCATCCATCCATCTAAAGAATCGCATTTATAATATTAGTCTTCATATATTAGTGAACTTATACTTACTACACTTGATGGTAGAATCTCCCTCTCCATTTACGGGAAATATGAGCATTCTTCCGGAAGACTTGTATCTACCTTGGATAGTAAGATTGCAATGAGACGTCAACTCATAGTTATTTCCAATATTCCTGAAATGAAATCGACGCTTCAATACAAAAACATTTTTTTTATTTCCATTTATGACTAACTTTTATGTATTAGATATCGCCCGCGAACATAAAAAAAACTTAGTAAGTACTCATGTGTTTTTCCAGACTATGTTCTACATCTATGCCAAATTTCATCGAGATCCATGCAGCCGTTCCGGAGATACCTTCAAACAAACATACATCCATCCATCTATCTAAACATTCGCATTTTTAATATTAGATTGAAGAATAAGATTGCTGTTGATTAATATAGACTTTCTACTTTACAAAAAAAACTAAATATTTTACAAAAAAAAAATATTTTTACTTACCTTACAGAATCGAAAATACAACTCTTAAATCCTGTTGCGTTGCCATTTACGAATTTAATTTGTAATCCACTGGGCAAATTGAATTGCAAGTTTTCAAATTCAAATGGATCTAGACATTTTATTCCCAGCTCCGGAATACCATTAAGGAAAACTTCAAGGACCGATTGTAAGAACTCTTTTAAGCATTCTGGCGAATCGCCACTGCAGGATTTTATAAAACCATCTGTAACAAAAAAAAGCTATTGAAGCCTACCCGACATCCTATGCAAAAAATAACCCCAAAAATATAAATAATGATATATTTGGCAAGGTGGTTGGTTTTGATATGTTTTTCATAAAATCTCTATTACGTGTACTTTCTTGTATGAGGATAAGGTTAAAAGTAATTCATATTTGAATTTATAATCTATAAAATACATAAAAACTAAAATTATGTTATTTAAAAATACTTACTAAAAGTTTCGCTACCCGCTTTTTTCATAACTAGCAATAATACAACTGTTGACAGTATGATATTTAAATTAAAATACATTTTGTAATAGAGATATATATTCTAGACGTCAGAAACACAATTGAAGGTAAATTATAAAATTGCATAAATTTATACATCATGTCATTACGGATAATAAGTAAAATTAACGAGTATCGTATTAAATTTTAAAATATTGTCCTAATTATATTAATCAGATAACATTTTAGGAAATGCTTTAGCTAACGTGGTCATTTACAGATGGCATAAAATGATTTTGAGAAACTAACTGTCGCCCGCTACTCCGTTGGCGCGAAATTAACAAAAAAAATGTAGTCCATGTGTTCTATGCCAAATTACCATGGTCCATGCAGTCGTTCTGTAAATACCTACTAACAAACATCCATCCATTCATATAAATATTCTCATTTATATATTATTAAGATAAATAAATACTGTACTTTAGGACTTGTTTCCGATATTGTATTTCTCTACCAATTTTATAATTTGTACAAGGACGAAGATTTTTTGTGCGTAACATTTTCAAAGGACTTTAGTAATTACATACCTAATATTCATAATATCACCAACCACTCTCGTTATTACAGCCCCTATTAAAGTAACCTCAATGTCATTCTATCGACAATAGGTAATAATGGACTATAGATGATTTATTGACTTGAATAAGCACTATAGGTAATAAATTCAAGGGTGACTTAATCCAATATAATGGATAAAACTCATACTATTTACGTTGAAAACAATTTTATTGCTAGCACAAATAAAGAATACTATTTTTAAGTCCGAAATAACAACATAAGTATCACAGGCAAAATTAATAAACACCGAGAAAACTATAAGTAACTAAAGTCCTTTAGATAATCCTTAATAATAAAACCTGTATATGGTCTTTATCTCGGATATATTTTCTTTACTTTTGGTATAGTTCTTTTCATATATCTTGGCGGTCCATGGTCTTGGGCACGCTGGGTTTTTCGCCACATCCTACACCTACAATTGTGTTCTGCGACACGTGAAGTTAAGAGCCATATATCTGATAACTATTGTAGCCATTGCTATAAAAATATACCCAGGTACAAACAATGACATTAGTCATATAATCAATAGGATACTGAGTCAATGCCTTGTTAAATTACGGATATAGTACAAGGCTAGATTTGATACCTGACTAATACTACATATAGAGAAAAAGTTTAAACGAAGTTAGTACGTAAAATGATTCTCTTACAATTTTTTATTGGATTCAGTAATCAATAAATGTTAATTACATGTAGTCGTGTTCCTCAAAACACGAAATCCGGACGTAAATCCAATACTTGGTATCGAACAAGGATTTGGAAATAACTTTTATATCTCATTGCAATGATTTATTTTATTTTCAATAGATACATAAAATCATCTTTCGGACTGATACATCTATCATTAATTAGTTCTGACAAACACAATCACTAATGACTTACATTCTAATAAATCAAACTGTAAATGGGCCGAAAAATTTGCTGTGTAATAGCCAAACGGTGTAGTGGATAACTAACCGCAACATTACAACTTACCAGTTGCGGTCAGGGAAGTACAAAACATCAGATAATTAAAATATATCTTTTAAGCATAATGACACAATATACGTACACATATTTTTTATTTAACTTGCCGGATTGAGGTCATCAGTGTCTTTACTTTTTTTTAAACCTAAAATTTTGTTGAACGCTGCGGACTTGTACGATATTCCGAGCGGCTAAAATATATGGCAACATATATACCTATTACTGTAGTCGTTTAGTTATGCCACATTTTTCATTATATTTTGTAGCAATTTCAAAATTCCGGACGTGTCTCATGTCATATTTGGCGTGTCACTGTTTATTTAGGGATTTTAAAATCAAACGTTTTTATTTGTATTTGGCATAATTTTAATTTCTTTAGATATCATAGTTTTTAATAAATAACATAAAGCTAAACTAAAATACAGAATACATTACAATAGTATTATTTTAATCATTCTTTAAAGCGAACATCGAAGTCATATTCATTAGGTTCTGGTGTGGGTACATTGAAAACATTATTTAAAATATCTTGTGATATCGTGATAGTAGTGTGAGGTGGTTTGGTTGCCGGTCTGAATATATTTCCGTCAATGTTGCTCGTCCAAGATGGTTGATCTACCGAGTTAAAGAAATCGTCTCCATTCGGTGGTGGAGTTGTAATTGGTTTTGGGCAAGGGCTTAATCGCTTTAATTCTACATCTGAAACAAATTAAATTGAAATTTAGTATTAATCTTCCTTCCTAAGTAAAGTAGGGGGGCGGGGGGAATAGGAAGTGGATTTGACAAGAGTGCACGTGACCGTGACCTTTGCTCATTTTTCACCATGTTTAAAAAAAAAGTTAATAAGAACTTACCAATGCCACAATACTTTGCACATTCCAATTTACCGATATTCTGATATGTTACATTGTTGGTGCCGCAAACAGGATTGTACTCAGGTGTTGTGGGACAAGATGCTATGCAACGACGTTGAGAGTCTGATTCAGTTGTAGTGGTAGGGTATATAGTAGTCTCGGTTGTAGTACATGGCAGTTTACGATACAGTTTAACATCTAAAAATAAAAATATAATTAACGAAAATAAACAACTAAAATCTAATATATTACTAAAATGATGGCTTATATATTGTAATACATTGTTGATCAAAGTTTAAGTGTTTCATGCAAACCAAAATATTAGAATATTTATCAACGTAGTCTATTTTTTTAGTTTTTTTACGTGTAAATTAAAGTATTTATAGCACATAAAGCTACCTTATTTACTAATTACTTGGCAGTATTAATAAATAGCTATGATTTTTTTTTTATTTAACATTATGTATTTCGGCATCTCTACAATACTTACCAAGGCCACATAACCGAGCACATTCCAAATGTCCTATGTTGGAATAAGTAATTCTATTTGTGCCGCAAACAGGGTTGTATTCAGAAGTCGTGGGGCACCCTTTGATGCATTCATCGTAATTCTCTCTTGACGAAATTGTTGTCACCAGTCGCGGTAAATCTGTTGTAGATCTAGAATAAAAATTACACTTAAATATAAAAAAAATTGTAAATTCAACTGCATGGAAAATAGTTTTGACTAATGTTAAAAAAATACACAATTTAAAAGTATTTGTTTAAGACCACAATATATTCGAAGTGTATAATCCATTTTGAATTTTCAAGGACATAGTGTGCAAAACAAATATTATTTTTGTGTGTGTGTTTATGTTATTATGGGAGCTATTATTACCCATGATCAAATCCAAACGCATCATCATAAAATGTATTCATAAAAGGTTAATTGTTTTAAACCAATTTATAGGTATCGTAATTCTATGGAAATTTACATCATCGGCAATACACACTAAAAGTACATGCTGTTCGTAAGATATGGGATTCTTACTAAGATGCACCATGGTCACGGGCTGACTGACTTAATTATGGTAAGAATCCCGATTTTTAGCAGTATATTAGTAAAAACCTTGAAAGTTTGACATTGTATAAACTACTATTGACTAATAATTAATTAAATAATACTCCGGGAAAAAATACTATTCGTATAGCAACTTACATTACCCTCCTATTGGACAAATACCACTTAAAATTGTGATTGTAGATTGTAGATACCGCAAACTTATAATAATAATGAAAATAAAAAACTTTTTTACAATAGAAAAAAGATCAGAAGTTGGCCGTTTCGCTTTAAATTTAAATATTACAAAAACAATCAAACAATTAAACACGAATAATTAACACTCAGAGATTCCAATGAGGATAAATAAAAATAATGAAATATTTAATGCGCTGATTTAAAGACAATAACAGAGCCTACCAAAAGAAATTTTTACGGCGATAGTCAATTGTGCTAAGTACTATTTTTAACCGTACTAAGAACGTTTTTTCGTAAATAAAATCAAAGGAAAATACTATTTTTCAATTCTATTTACACAATACTTCCATTCGAATAATATTATTTTCCAAATAAAAATAGTGCAAGCCGCTACGAAAAACCTTTATTATTACGTTTTGATACATACCTAATAATAAAATCTTTCTCATAATAAACAATTTCCTTTGCAGCTTACCCTTAATCACGTTTCTAACCAAAATAGTATTTGAAATGTGTCCGGTTCGAAGTATGTTGTACCTTGTCAAAATAAATTAACATTAATTGAACAAAAGATCTACAATCATATTTCAGAATTTTAAACCATTTTAAAGTTTTATTAAATATTGAAGCAATATTAATTTAAATGGTTAATAAAAATAAAATAAAGTTAATTCAAGATCCTTGGGAATAACCGCTCTTTAACCGCAAGGCAGAAGTTATTTTTATGTCCAAAAAATATTGGTTATTCCAAAGAAACGCGGACGCATATTAACTTTTCGCTGAAATTAGTCTACAATACAAAAGCAACAAAATGTGTGTTTCACTATAAAATCACGAGCTCCGGTTAATCCTAAGATTTACAATCTATATCAAGTAATAGGTACTTTAAATGCACGGTGAATTTCGGTAAACAACCGGCTAACATTATGTTTCTAACATAAAGATTATGGAATTAGGATTATCATTATGGTTATAAGCTGCGCGAAATGTTTATTTTCACCCCAGAGTTACCTCCGGTAAAGTTCTTATACGAATAAACGAGAGTTTAACCACGATCCTACCTGATGTTAAGTAGTGGAGGAAAGCTGGCACTCGCTAGTTTAGAAAGTGACTATTTACCCTACTCTTGAAGGCCCTAAACTGCTTCTAAACGACCTTTAACAAATCTTAACCGTTTTAAAGATTAAATTTGTATCTTGTTATGTTTTTTTAAGTGGTGACAAACCGAACTTCTGCAATATATTATTTTGTTACGGTGTAACGTAATACTTTTGTAATTAGTAGCCAATGTTCTAGCTGTATCACACATTATAATTTGCAAGCTTCAATAGACCGAAAAATAAGATTTCTTTTAAATCGATAAGTAAATCGATATTCTAGTTGAGTACGATAAGCGATGAAACGTAAAAAGAACAAAAAATACCTAATAATTCTTTTATAAGTTAAATAGATTGACTTTTTTGTGGTCTGTACCTGTATAAATTGAAGCAAAAAAGTAATATAAATACTCACTTGGTGGTTATCTCGCGGTCTTCATTATCAGAGTCCGGGAACCAAATTCGATCTGGATTCCAATCTTTAGGATATTTGTGGCCTACTCCACTCTGACTATGATGATGTTCCAATCCACCAAAATTATTATTATTCCGCGTATCTGTGTAGTCTTCAAAGATTATTCTATCGTTATAATGATCACTGGTGTCATATCGATACCAACTTTTACCATCAGCATTGGAACTTAAAAATAATGATATGACTGTAACAAAAAAGAACAGGTTAAAAATAAAAAAAAACCTTCAACTTAGTCTTCATTTGTTTCTTTATTAGTCTTCTTTGTCAAGAGATTCCTTTAAATGATAAAGTTCATTACACAACCATATCACTAGTTGGTATCAGTCAACTCTCTCCTATTATGTTTTCCTAGTATTTGGTTGGTATTTAATACTGGGCCATACAATTAAATAAAATGTAAATGTATTGATTCTATTTCAAATCCTAAAAAGATGCATGTACGTATTATGGGAAACCAAAATTGTTGTTTGTTTGTTTGTTTTAGTTTTTTTTTTGACTTTAAATAACTTACTATATAGACTTTTGGTAAAATCGAATGGGAAAGGTTTTTTGAAGAAAAATCATATATTTGTAAACAGATTTTAATCAAATGATTATTTAATAATTAGGATAAAAGATAATGGATATTTAAGTCTGGTTATTCTTTCAATGTTTGTAAATAAGCGTATCTTTACCGGCTAAGGAAATACAGTGCGAAGTAGTTTGTTTTGTTTTGAAAAGAAATTAAATAAAAAGTATTTCTTTCCTTATTATGAAGACTAGTTGCAGGAACGATAGAATATTGGCACTTTTTATATTTTATATAGTTTGAAAAGTGTTACTGAAATTTTATAATATGTTTAGAATGACATCTATTCGTTTCGTTGCAAGGAAAAGCGAATGACGAAATAATAAAAATCTACGATTATTTTACTAAATTCTCACTAATCATTCATACATTATTTACAAATGTATACGTAGTAATATTTAACGTATTATCTTACAAATAAATGAAAAATATGTAAAAAGACACTTACCTAAAAATAAAACGACCTTATCCATAACTAGTAATCCGTGCCAATGCAACACTGACGTAATAAATATCCAAACAATTGTTTGTTCACTTAACTGCGGAGCGTCACAAGACTGTCAAAGATGGTGAATGAGTAACTAATATGATCTTACCCAAGTATATAAATTCCCCTCCTTTCGTCGTCTACTAACTAAACGTGTTCGGACCATTCAACATGACTCAGATCCTTTACTACGCCAGTGCATTGTTTCTGTAAATATCACGATAGGCTATTTAAAAATATGCAATTTTACCCACGAGTATAGTTGCGTAATTTTTTTTAATCATTATTTATTTTTACTTCTTTTTAACATTATAAATGCGAATGTTTAAATGGATGGATGGTTATTTGTTTGAAAGTATCCTCGGAACGGCTCAACGGAACTTGATGAAATTTGGCACAGATGTATAACATAGTCTGGAAGAACACATAGGCTACTTATACTGTACTTATATTTAGGTCACCAAAACCGACGGTAAAGTATTAGTGAGAACATTTTAATTTGTGGTCAAGCGCTAACTCATTCAACATAAAAAAATCTATATTTTATAGCTACTAGATATGTAAAGTTATTAAGACATTATCATGCCGGATTTAAATCGGAGTTCCCGGATTAGAAGGCAGTGTAATCAACTGTACAGTATGTTCTATACGTCCAGTCAGACAAGACATCAAGGATCTAATTAATATGTATTCCTAGTACAACTTCAATGATCCAAATCCGTGTAGGTCATCTAAATAACAATGTCATTTACCTTACCTTTACCTAAAACAAGTATATACTATAAGTAAATACTATTGAGTCATCAAACAATCCGGATACAATTTTTAAAAGAATTTTTTACTATTACATACATCCTTTACTCATTTCTATGAGCCAATTATTTACTAGAATTAATTCAGATTCAAGAATTCAGACTTTAGTAATTAGTAGATTGAATTTTTGATTTTTTAACTTTCATGTAAAACTAAATAAAACTCTTTTAACTAATTACTGAATTTCCATAGCCAATAGATGAAATTTGACATAGATGTAGAACTGTCTGGAAGAATATGCAACTTACTAAGTTTTTTATTAAAATCCTCGCGGACGGAGTCGCGCGCAAAAGCTATTTACATATAATTATATCTATTGATTACAAAATAAATTTGCCTCCTGTGAGGATTGAACTCACGACCCCTGGTTTACGAGACCAGTGCTCTACCACTGAGCTAAAGAGGCGCGTAATTTTTCAATGAAATCTAAGCATATTTTTTATGCAAGAATGCATATAATAAAACCTAAATTGATTTATTTGTACTCTGCACTTTTAATGATAAGATTTTTCAGATCATTAGAATCTTTTTTGTTAGCATCATCAAAATCTTTTTGTCATAAAAGTGATTAGTCAATTGATTGTTCTAATTTCATCGCCCTTAATGACATTTGATAACGGTTACCTTGTCACCGTACGATTTTCCTGACGTGTCGATGATGATTTGTTCTCCGGTGTTTATGATCTAAAAGAATAATAGCGGGTTTTCCATCTTACGATAATCTATTATCTGGACGCACTACTTACATTTTACACGTGCTCACTTAAACTGCATGATTGCACATATTTTTTAATATCTATATTCTTATTTTATATCTAAGGCGGCAAAGCGAGCGGCCATCTTAAATTGCTGAAATAGCAAAGCGACCGTTGCCCATAGACATATACAATTGCATACGCGTTTCATACCTTTAATCGACGGATGTGGGGATGCACAGAAAGAAAATATTTTCCCTTATCATGCATCTCCTCAGCAGGAAAATCTACTACCACTTCCCATACCTTGTAAGAAAAATGGTGGGAAGGGAAACAGACCTAAAATTAGGCCTCTGGGACCTTTACTGACCTTAACTCTTCCATCGGTAAAACCATTTAATTTGTCAGTTGTGTTAACTCTGGCGCTTTTATCTGGCGATTTTTATTAACTTTACCCTTGGATAACCCAATACACCTATTTCCAGTCTCGATATCGAAGTTGTATTTCCTGATAGAATCCCAGGAGTCAACATAATAGATTGTCTCTGCGATGCCGTTTTCATGAGAAATAATATTATTTATTTTAAATGTAACTAATACGTAATATACATTTTCTCTCATTTATTGTCCACGTGTCTACATCTCTAGTTTACAGGAGTGAGAGTTAAATAAAGCTTGTTTGGAAAAAATCCCCTAGATGGCGTTAAAATATGCAAGTGAACAACAGTAATAACAGTATGTATAGCGTCTTTAATGATTCACATGTAATTAACAACCCTTTTATTTTTGTTTTAAACATGTATGCGAGAGAGGACTTCCTTTGTATGAAGTTGGGAATCCCCAGTGATTCCCAACTTCAATTTAGCTTTGTTTAGATATGTTATTACACCTAATTAAATAATGCGTTCTATTTTCCTAGAACAGTTTTTAAATATAACATCTTAAAGTTAAAATATATAGAAATATATTAAACGCTCGAAGAGTAATTGACGTTTAAATAACAATTAAAAATCTGATCGAGGAAGAACCGTTTATTGACTGACGAGATTGACGATTGAACTTATGATATTTTATTTCTTTTTACCATATCATAATGTTATTAATAAAATGACTTTACAATACAATACTCGGTCAGTAAGGGGAAATTTTATTCTTTAACTGTACGTAGTATGTTATCAATTTAAAGACCGATAAGAATATTTGACCCGCTGGCCATAAGTCAAACTATATTACTACACACTAGCGCCACTCTGACAATGTTTAAAAGTATCAAAAAATCTTTGTTCTACTGTAGCTGCACTGATTATAAGTTCGAATTCATCTGTATTATTACTTCTAATCCACACCATCGCTACAAACCGCTACCATCAGTGGCAAAACAGCGAAAATTCAATAAGGACAAAATATCCTGTCTTATAGCCAGTGCATATATAAAGGTCAGTGTGTAGCAGTCTAGCAGTCTTGTGTTTTTTCCTTTTATAATGTATTTTATCATTTATTTTCTGTACTTAAGGAGTGTATATTTTGTAACAGTACTGGCCGCGATAGCAGCGCATCTGTCATCAGGCCAGATATCTTTGTTTGACAAGTTTGAACTAAGCTACCCGGGGCTCTGCCAAAACTTGAATAAAAAGTGGTTTTAATTCGAGTTTTTATTGCATTAATTGCATTATCATATGTAAATAAGTCGAGATAGTTTTACAAAGTAACATAAAGGACTAGATCACGATGTAGGTGGAGCGACTGTCGTGGCGGGACACGGCGATGACCGCAATAAGTTCACATCTGAAAAAAAAATTATACTTTTTTATTTTTTATCATCAAAATAAATGGATATTTAGACAGTATTAAAATATAATACGTGTAAGAACAGATAATATATTTTAAACATTATATTGCTTGTTTTCCTTCTTGGCTTTTTTATCATTGAATATTTATCATAAACTGTGCGTTAAAACGAGCACTCATATTAACATATTTTAACACTAGTGTACGTATCGTCACAATAAAAAAAAACTTATATTTCCTTGATCTTATGTTCATTTTTATATCTGAAGGCATACAGAACTAGATTTAGCTTGCCCTGTTTAATGCAAAACGGATCGACTTTAATTTGGGACAATTTCAATCTGCTTTTTATTTTACTTTACAATATTATTAATATTGTGAAATTTTTATCTCAAAAGAAAATTCCTATGAATGCATATTAATACTCCGTTTAAATCATTGTTTACTACAATTTTACTTATTTACCTACTAAACGAGTTTTTAATCGCTGGAACTTGTTTTTGTGTCATTGGTGTTTGCTTATAAAATAGTAATTGCCTCGGAGATGTCATCATTATGTATTTAACCTTGGTAACGCATCGTGACATCTAAATTAAACCAGATCTTTGCGTCATGAGAAGTCTGAACACATGACGTTTGACTACATTTATACCATACTATGTTAACACTATACACACACTATGTTGTTGTTTAATACCCATGTTAATACTCAATATCGGTGGGCCAGGGTGGATTGGTAGACATATTTCAACATTTTAAGCAACGCATATGCAAATGCGTATGTCTATGGGCAACGGTCACTTCGCTATTTCAGCGATTTCAGGTTGCCGCTCGCTCGTTTGCCACCTTATAATATAAAAAAAATTCTTCGCACATATCCGTAAACTGCATTACGATCTTTTCCTTGGCCGTAAACACGTAGAATAAACGAATGTATATGTTGTATGAAAAACATAAATTCGCAAAAAAACATGACTACTTTGAACCTGGGCTTCTAGATTACAAATGTAATTAACCATAACGCCATCGAAGCTGGTTAAATACTAGGATTTTGTTTTTGGATTTTGACCGCGTGAGGGCAACCAACCCGCAAAAGACCAGCGTAGTTGACTAAGACTTTGACACTTCAGACTTAGAGTAGACTCCGAGCCCCTCAGTGGATACGTATAGTGAGCTGATAATGATGACTTACTTATTCCACAAGCTTGAGCGCAGTACAAACGGCCTGGGTTAGGGTATGTAACATTGTTGGTGCCGCACACAGGGTTGTACTCCGCAGTCACGGGACAGTTGGTAATGCAATCGTCGACATTTGGGGCGCTGGTCGGCGGCGTTGTGGTCCTGGAATTATATTCGTCGTTTAATTAATTAATCTAAGGAAATCATTGAAACCTTGAGAAACCACCTTATGATATTATCCTAGACACATTCTATTGTGTCACATAAGACATGCTGTATGCAGTGTTTCGATACATGCAATTAGAAAAGCTTGTTGAGATGTCATATTGAAACCACGTTATCTCTTCAATGATTTGACAAAAATTTAAACTCACAACACTCAACTCATGGCAATATTGATTGATAAAACGTATTACAATTGTAAAAAGCCAAACAATTATAAATTTATATTAATAGTATTTTGTTTAATGATTTTGTCCCTATCGGATATGTTGAAAAGATCAAACTCCATATCAAACATAGGGATAATTACGGATGACTAATGTCTTTTCTGTCTTTGAGAATAAGGATATCATAGTTAAAGTTTTAGTGTTTTCTTTTTTTATAACCTATGAACAGATATCGTGGACAGAATAAGCTTTAACTACAAACATGCAAAAGAAGTAAGATGTACATCATGAACTATGCCAAATATTGTTTGTATTAAATATAAAATGTTAAGCAAATAACAATGAACGAGAAAAGTGACAGTTTCAACTTGCCCATTGATTGGGTTTTGAGTTGTCATCTGTTGTCCCGGATTGGGTGTTCCTTGTCCGGGAGGAGGTAATTGTCCAGGGAGAGGAACTTGTCCGGGTAGAGGTACTTGTCCGGGGAGAGGTACTTGTCCGGGGAGAGGTACTTGTCCGGGGAAAGGAATTTGGCCAGGTAGAGGTCTTTGTCCAGGGAATGGAAACTGTCCTTGACCGGGAAACTGTGGGTTGGGATAAGGTGGTTGATTTGGGAACATTCCTGGGTTAGGAAAACCTCCTGGATAGGGATACATTCCTACACCAGGGTATAGACTTGGGTCAGGATAAAATCCTGGATCGGGATATTGTCCGAAATTAGGTCGTTGACCAGGAAACCTTCTATCGGGCATCGGCAACTGGGGTGGCAATCGCGTTGGATACCACGACGGTAACATGAATCCATATCTATCTTCTAAGTCGTTGTTATTTGTTTCAGCTTGTCTCTTATTTCTTAAATTTAATCCGAACACTTCAGTTGTAAGAAACGCTGAAAAAAAAATTTAGACTGAAACGTGGTAATCAAATTTTCGTTTCTTAATCTATCTCGTGTTTTGCAATCATGATTTAATAATTTTAACTTCTGAGCAACAAATTAAGTTAAATAATAAAATTTATCATTAAATATAAACATAATAATCTTTGAATGTAAGGTAGAGGTCAATAACGCCAATGGAGACGCCATTTTTGTATAAATATAACAATTTGCAGCCGTCAAATAACCGGTTATCGTAAGTTTTGATGTCTGGTTTTAAAAGAGGAAACTACAATATATAAGTTTTTATTTTAAAATCAAGATACACAAAATGCTCTACTTTATATATCAAAAAATTTTAATAACTTGTCTATTATGTAATTATCACAAAGCAAAAAATAAATAAGTAGATTTCAAAGCTTAAGTAATAAGTACGATATATTTTTACATATTTATATCACTAAAATTGCACAACAAAGTACTCAAATTAAACATCATTTGTAAATTTTAATAACTTTAAATAAATGAGTAAACTTCTAAACCTATAAAAATAACTAATAAAAGAAAAAAAATCATTTTGGTTTATTTCGTACCAAATAAAAAGATAAGACACAAAGTGTGAATAAAAAAAAGGTAAAAGTGAACTTTGTAACACTTCTTACATATAAACTTGCATTTGTAATTTATAATTAGGTACTTACCAGCTAATAAAAATAAACACAAACTTTTCATTTTGATTTAAATTATTTTTTTTCTAATAATCGGTCTGTCTTGTACGGCTGTCTGGCGATACTGGCCGTTGTTGACCATCGTCATTGCTTTTAAACACGCTTCAGATAGTGACCAGTTCGTCTCGTATCATACAATAATGATGTTTGCGAGTTATTGTCGGTATTTCCAATACATAGATATATTTAAAATTAGCGGTTGTCCGCGACTTTGTCAGCCTGAAATAAAAAGAATATCCTAAATTCCTCTCGTAAATATTAGCTACCTTATAGGGAAAGTCCTATCAGAATCGGTCCAGCCTTTACCGTGAACAAAAGCGGACTTGATGCCAAACAGACATACAGAAATGTTATATTGGTTAATCGTTTATATCAAAGAAATCATATTGGTCCAAAAATACTAACGTAAAAATTTTCTGCATTGTCTTTTTAACTTTATATCATCATCATCATCATCAGCTCACAATACGTCCCCACCGAGGGGCTCGGAGCCTACCCTGAGTTAAGTTAACTTTATATACTACAATATATTAATAATATTCAGCAAGATCGCCATTTAAAATTTTAACAGAATTTCTTATTAAATCTTATTAATATTAAAAATTCTAAACTTCGCATTTATGAATGGATGAATGGATGTTTGTTAGAAGTTGTAGGAGTAGAAATCTCCAGAACGGCTGCATAGGTGTAACGGAAATTTGACATATATATGTAGAAAATAGCCAGGCCACTAATTAAGTTTTTTTTAATTCCGCACGGACGGAGTCATTGGCGATAGCTAGTGTCAATAATATATCGATGAACATGTGACATCACTAACTATCCGAGTTCAAGATGACCTGTGGATAATTTGCTCGCTGTAAATTCCCAGCAACTTCCCAGCGGTTTTTTACATCCAGCCAGGATTATAATTTGGAAAGTAATGTATTTATCACTCGGAATGTAATTTTACTACAAACAGTAGCATTGTGATCTGTTTTTGCGTTGAATTCCTTAGCCATCCGGTATATGTAGATGACTTTGAAATTAGCAAACAATCGTAACTAAAATGGCGAACCAAAGTAACGTTAATATAGGTTTATGTTTTAAGAATATGAATTAATAAAGTTAGTTGAGAAAATGCATTTTATTTTAAAAACTACCAAAACAATAAAAAATAAAAGTTTAGGTAAATATTTGGGTTTGTGAAAAAAACAAAAAAAGTCTAGTTTTGAATTTATGCTAAATGATATCCAAATATGACTAAACGGGTCGGTTGGAACACAACAGATGCAATCATTAGGCACGATTTACCAAAATATATATAAGTCAGTATCAGTCAGTATCAGTATATATACTTTAAAATCAGATATATCTCAGCACTTAATTAATTATTTACAGTTTTAAAATCATCGTAATTTTTTTTTTCATATACAAAAGTCGCAAATACTGCGACTCAAAGTCGAGTAAGTACTTAATTATAGCAAACTCTTATCAGATATAAATTAATTTTGCACTAGAAATAATGAATAAGTATACTTTTATTAATAAAGATTTTTAGAACAAAATCCCTGATTTTATTCGATGAACATCATTATATTTGAGCACATATATCAAAGTGGCTTTAAATCTCGTTTGTTAAGGAAAACGGCATAATATGCAAATAAGGTTTTTAATTCTTTATTAACAATATTTTCTTACACTGGGAATTGTTTTAATATAAATAATTATAATAAGAGACAATTATTTTTCAGGTTTGTGTTATATAGAGAATCTAAGAAATAAAACAAATATATAAACTACAAATACCAGATAATAAACAATAAAATTAGTTTCGAAATTTAAAATAATTTATGTTTTTGTTGTAATGAACTCTTATCGTTAGTATCATACATATACAACGTCTGTCAGATAAGGTTAGAAAAACCCAACGTCCGTGTGACTTATAAGAAACGATATAGTTAAATGCGTGGATTTGCGTAAAAAAAATAAGACGTTAAATTGTTTTTTTTTTAAGAAAAGGAGAAAGGCTGCACCGTTTTAAGATATTTTTGTTAGAAATAAATACCCTAAAGAATTAAAAAACGAAACATTTTTTAAGGTATATTAATTTTGTTATTTACACTTGGGACATGGGTTTGTTTTGGTATTGTACTTTCTAGTTTCAGCTATTTTAAATATAAAATATATGTGTTCCTACATATATCATGTGAGTAAATGTTGTGATCATGTCGATTGCTATTCAGCGATAGCAGGCGGTGACGGATATTATGCCGTCTTATTTCTTCAACCTTCTTTCGAGTCAAGTCCCACCGTCTGAGATAATCTATAAATCTATATTATCTAAATTGTTAAAAATTTATCAGAAGACGCGAACGAAGTCATCGGCATAGCTATCATGGAATAAACTCCAAATTATATCACTTTATCTCACAATTTTTATTTAATAATGGAAAAAAAGAAACAGTGTAATAACCATCATGTATGTTAGAAGATCTTTAGTGTCCATAATTGAAACATTTAATTCAAATTTTATCAAAAAAATATTTTTTTGCCAACAATTATTTTATTAAACAGAAACAATACAATATTATCAGTTGTGCTGTTGCTCGAAACCATCCTTCTTATGCATTCGCTTATAACACAGCTGGAACAGAAAAGCAGAAGTATATGACCCGACACTGTTTAGTTCAATGGAAAAAGTTTCTTAAGGTGAGTATAGACTAAAGCATTTATTTGTAACAGAACATCGAACCGCTCTATATGTTCTAGTGTGGGAACCGTGTGTTTACCTTCATGATACCATTCGTAAGAACGTTACGTTACATATATGTAAATGCTCGAGAAAATACACTAGTGTATATTCACCTTTACATCCCATTGTGTCGATTTGGTTTTAGATTTTAAAATTTCTTAAATGTAATTTTATTAGACTTTACAACATCTTCCTGGCTTTATCAACGTGGAGCCAGCGCACAAGAGTTTATAAACCTTTTTGCATTTGGCCGCCTGCCTGTCGCCAACACAAATTGGGAATCATTTTTTAAAGTTGAAAATAAACATTTAATTATAAACTAAACAATTACACATATAATAGTAATACGAGATTTATCAGACTTCATAACGGTAAACGCAAAAATCGTGGGCAAACTTGACACAGTGTGAAGAATGTAAAGTCAATAATGGGTCTATTGACTTCATATTTATAAACGCATGCCTAGCGTTGCTGTCTAAGACCTTATCAAAGTATCTCACCTAATTTAGGTAAGGCTCTATCTTCTTGGTAGGGATCTAATTACATATGAGCGAACTAACGACTATTCGTAACTGTTGACTTAACAATCTATAGTTTAGCCTTCCCACTTTCGTGTACTTACGTAGTTTACACCGACTTGCACAACGTACTGCCGAATTTGGATACTGCAGAGATACATTGCGCAAACAATCATCTATACACGACAAACCCGGACTACTTGTTGTCGTAGGCGTTGGTAGTCTGAAAAACACAGTACAGATGTTTTTTTTGTAGAAACCTACTAAAGAAAACGCATATAATTCCAAATTGGTACACATTTTTCCTACCCTTCCGGCATGGTCATACCGGGTGAAAACGACGGCAGCGTCGGCTGAATCTGGGCACTGGCAGTCTTCGATTTAATAATCAGCATCGCTGTCAAACAAAATAACTGTATCAAGAATTTACACGCATAGGACGCACACGTAATACAGAGCCAATCTGTGTTTGTAAATGACAACCAAAGTAAGTTATAATAAAGTAACTGTCGCCCGCGACTCCGTCTGCGCTACATAAAAACAAATTTAATAAGTAACCTATGTGTTCTTTCATCTATGCCAAATTTCAGAAAATCCATGCAGCCGTTCCGGAGATACGTTCAAACAAACATCCATCCATCCATCTAAACATTCGTATTTAAATTATAAGTAAGATTACACGTTTATAACATAATATGACTGCAAAACATTGTATAAATTTTTTATTGAATAATGAAATATGACATTAGTATCAACGAATAGCATTTAACTTACCAAAAGCGATAAAAGCCAACTGTTTAAACATCTTGTTAACTGAAAATATACTAATATAGTATGTAAAGATATCTTGCTGTTTATAACAATACTGTTTCTATGAATACAACTCCCGTACCTTTATATAGGCTCAATTTTGGGCTACGCTTATCAAAGTCGAGGTTCTTCCTAACGTCCGTGAAGAATTAGTGTATAATTTATTGTACATTTTTTTGTTTATCAAAAGAATAGTTTGACACACCACTGTAATCACAAATAATGTCTATTTACATTATATGTATATTTATTCATGAACTTGCTGTCGCCCGCGACTCCGTCCGCGCGCAATTAAGAAAGAACATACATAGTTATTAGCCTATGTGTTCTTCCAGACTATGTTCTACATCTATGCCAAGTTTCAGCGAGATCCATTCGGCCGTTTATCTGGGAAAAAGGGCTGTTTTTAGGGTTTTCTCGGCAATTATTCGAATTTCTCTTACCTCTTAAACCTTACCTAGAATCCAACGAAAGTTTCAAGACCAAGGTAAAATAAATCACTTCAGCCGTTCTCAAGTTATAACGAGACTAACGAACAGCATATATAAACTATGAATAATTTCTATTGTATCTATAACCATTGGTCGCCACTGCCGTACAGTGGTACAGAAACATTTCCATATCTTAATTTATTAATAAAAAAAGAGAGGTATACAAATATATTTTTCTATGAACGCTTTGCCGACAGCGGAATCCCACGGTTAATCATCTGTTCTTTTCCTTCGGTAGTCGGAAATTCGTAGTTTAAATTCCATGTGACTTCAACTATTTAATTAATATTAAGACCCTTTAACACGTTGTAAGTTTCTTGCCTGTTATGTAATTAAATTTGAGGAATAGTTATCTTATGGTGTAGATATCATATAACATTCTTTATTTGTTATGTTTTGATTAAAAACATGCCTTGGCGTAAAATTCAAATCTATCTGACCCGGTGAGAGAGGCGTTGCTATCTCATTGCTTCTGTCATAAAAGAACTAAAACCTACTTCGGTACAAAAATGACATATAACATAAAAAATAAGTTAACAACAACATTACATCAGTGCTATAAACACTTATATTAATCATACTTAACCCTTAAATCGCAAGCGACAAAAGAAAATATGGAGAAATGATCGCCAATCTTTGTTAGTCGGAGACGCACCTCAATAAGAAGAAGAACCCTTAAATGCGCACTGTTGTATTAATACAAGATTCCAAAAACCATAGATTAAAAACATTTAGATTATTTTTCCTTTATTATAATACCGATCTTGCATTAAAAATGATTCTTTGGAAAGTTTTATTATGTTTTTTTATAGCAGAAGGGGCAAACGAGCAGCGGGAACACCGTACTTTATGTGTTGACAGAAAAGAGTGCACAAGTCATAGATACTGTGTCTACATCAACCATCAGTCATGGGATTGGTTTTAATATACTTATGACGACCCATGAAAAGACTTACCTATGACCATTTTCTAACCGAAAAAAAAATTGGTTTCATGAAAAAAACAAATCATTTTACTATAAACCCTTTATTTATTACAAAATGTTTTAATTACAAATAACAAATGAATATTAAAATTATCACAATTTTTTATGAAAGTCATTATGAAAAACAAATTTACTTATACCGGAAATACCTTCATCACAAAAAATTATCTAAAACACAGCTATTTCTTAAATAACAAAGGACAGCATTAAATACAATTAGTAGCAATACTACGAATAAAGTTGTAAACTTGTAGGACGTACTCATGGAGGACAAGGTGCGTTTGATACAAGATTAACATCTGGAAAGAAAAAATAAGCTCATTCCATGAAACAGTTCAAATATTTTTGTACATATTCATCAATAATTAATAATTATAGCTATATGAAATTTATCCGACTTTATAGCGGTGAAGTCAAACATCGTGGGCAAACTTGTTACAGTGTGAAGAAATTGAAGTCTGCAAAGTCAATGACGGGTCGATTCACTTCATATTTACATGCGCTTAGCTAACGTTGTTGTCTAAGACCTTATCAGCATATCACACTTAATTTAGGTAAGGCTCTATCTTCTTGGTGGGGACCTACTTATATATGAATGAACTAACGACAACTCGTAACCGTTGAGTTAACAATCTATAGTTTACCCTTCCCACTTTTGAGTACTTACATCAATTACACTGAATTGCACAACGTACTGCCGAAATAGGATATCGTAAAGATGCATTGCGTAAACAATCATCTATGCACGACAAACCTTGACTCCTTGGTGTCGTTGGCACCGCTGCTCTGAAAAAAAATATGTACAGATGATTCGCTTGTAGAAACCTACGAGGTAATTCTAAATTGGTACACATTTTTCCTACCCTTCTGGCATAGTCGCATTGAGTAGTACCGGAAGCGGCGTCGGTGGGGTCTGGTCGTTCTGAGTCATGGATTTATTAATCAGGATCGCTATCAAACAAAATAACTGTATCAAAAATTATCACACATAGAACTCACATATTACTGTAGTAATACTGAGTCAATTTGTGTTTGTAAATGACAACCAAAGTAATGTACAAAAAAACTAGCTGTCGCCTGCTACTCCGTCCGCGCGGAATTAAAAAAATAACTAAATAGTAAATAGAAATAGAGTAGTCTATGTATTCTTTCAGAATATGTTCTACATCTGTGCCAAATTTCAGCAAGATCCATCTAAACATACGCATTTATAATATTAGTAAGAAAGTAATTTTACAACATAATATCACTGCAATAAATTATAAAATATGTTTATTGTATAACTAGCTGTCTCCCGCGACTCTGTCCGCGCGGAATTAAAAAAAACAGAATTAGTAGCCTGTGTGTTCTTCCAGATTATGTTCTATATGTATGCCAAATTTTATCGAGATGCGTTCAGTCGTTCTGGAGATACCTTTAAAAAACATCCATCCATACATCCATTCATTCATCTAACCATACACGTTTATAATATAAATAAGATGACATATACCATTCATGTCAAGGAATAGCATTTAACTTACCAAAAACGATAAAAGCCAACTGTTTAAACATCTTGTTAACTGACGTATATTTTTATAGTATGTAAAGATATCTTGCTGTTTATGACAAGAATGTTTCTATGAGTAACTCGCCTACCTTTATATAAACTCAATTCTGGGCTACGGTTATCAGTCGAGGTTCTTCCTAACGTCCGTGAAGAATTTAGTGTATAAATTATTGTATTATACATTTATTGTTTATCAAAAGAATAGTTTGACACACCACTGTACGCACAAAGTAATGTCTATATTAAATATTTATTCATGAATTAATTATTAATAATTTCTATTCTCTCTATAACCACTGGTCTCCATTGCCAGTATACCGACACAAGAACGTGTCGATATCTTAATTTATTAATAAAAAAGAGAGGGATACAAATATATTTTTCTATGAACGCTTTGCCGACAGCGGAAACCCACGGTTATTCATCTGTTCTTTTCCTTCGGTTGTCGGAAATTCGCGGTTTAAATTCCACGTGACTTCAAATATTTCATTAATATTAAGGCCCATTTACACTATGTATGTTTTTTGCCTGTTAAATATAATTAAATTTGAGAAATAATTATCTTATGGTGTAGTGTAATCTTGATTGGTGGCTTTCATTAAAAACATGCCTTGGCATAAAATTCAAATTTATCTGACCCGGTGAGAGAGGCGTTGCTATCTCGGTACTTCTGTCATAAAAGAACTAAAACCTCCTTAGGTACAAAAATGACATATGACATAAAAAAATAAATTAACAAGAACATTACATGAGTGCTATAAACACTAAAATTATTAATAAATAAAAATTAATTTTATTATTTACTTTTTTAATGTACTTTATGTGTTGATCCTACCTTATGCGATGTAAAAATGATTTGAAGGTCATAAGGTCATCCACCCGACAGAAACAAATTGTACGGACAATGTAAAAGTCTGTAGGGTCTGTGTCCCCATCCACCAGCAGGCGTGGGATTTATTTTAATATTCTTTAGATGAACCATGAAAAGACTTAATTTACCAACCGAAAAACAATGGAAAAAAGGAAAACCAAATATTTTCGTATATATTTTTTATTACAAAATGATGCAATTACAAGTAACTATTAAAATTATAACAATTTTTTTTTATGAAAGTCATTTCGATTTACAAAAGCGAATTTCCCGAAGAATTGCTTTATGCCTTCAATTTTAAGTTATTTTTCCCAACTGTACTTAAATCGGAATTACCTTCACCACTAAAGAAAATATCTAAAACACAGCTATTTCTAAATTAACAAAAAAAGGACAGCATTAAATACAATTAGTAGCAATATTACAAATAAAGTTGTAAACCACTTGTAGGACAAGGTGCGTTTGATACAAGATTAACATCTGGAATGAAAAAAATGAGCTTATTCTATAAAACGGTTTAAATTAATTAATTCATCAAAGAAAAAGTTTTTTTTAGTTCTAGTACTGTTTTTCATCAATTAAATGTTATCTTGTTTTACAATTCGATAACCTTTAGTAACCGACGTTCTTACGGTGAAGGAAAACATCGTGATGCAACCTGCACATATCTGAGAAAAAATTCAAAGATATGTGTGAAGTCAACCAACCCGCACTTGGCCAGCGTGGTTGACTATGGCCTAATCACCCTTAACTTAGGGTAGGCTCCGAGCCCCTCAGTGGGGACGTATAGTGAGCTGATGATGATGATGAACCTTTAGTAGAGAATCTCTAAGAACATTACTCATCATTACTCAAAATTAAAAAAGAAAAAATTACAAAATCAAAGGAATTATGATCTACTTACCAACGCCACAGGATTTTGCACATTCGAGAGAGCCCAGGCTAGGGTAGGTAACACCATTAGTGCCACAAACAGGGCTCTCTTGCATGATGGGACAAGTTGAAAGACACATTAAGTCATCTACAGCTGTTGTTACCCTAAAAACAATCAAAACAACACTGATCATGATTGGTGGATGTTTGTTTGGAGGTATCTCCGGAACGGCTGAACATATCTTGATAAAATTTGGCACAGATGTAGAACATAGTCTGGAAAAATACATACTACTCTTTAAGTTTTCTCTTTTTAATTTTGCGCGAACGTAGCTGCGGGCGACAGCTACTAGTGTATAAAAATAAAAATCGAAACTTTAATTATCATGTAAATTAAAAACAATTGAATGTAATGTTATCCACGTACATAAATGATATAAACATTAGAGAATTTATATATATATATATATATATATATATAACAGTTTCGTAGATGCCCCTCGGACGTAACCAATATGTCCAACTAATTTTATTATTCGCTGAATTTTTAATGAAATTTAATCAATTTGGTATAATAATATATCAGAACTAAATATCGCAATATTCTATAAATCAAATTTTGGTATACTATTTTAAAAACAATTTGAACAACTTTCGTTTTAAGGCCGACAACACATCTGCAGTTCCTCTGGTGTTGCAGATGTACATGGGTGTCGTTGTTCACCATGGTGTACCCGCTGCACATTTGCCCCCTACTCTTATTAAAAAAAATTCTATCGCGCCCCGTTTAATACGTTGTAAAACAAAATAATATTCGAAATGATAAATAAGTAATAAATCAGAAACAGACAGACAGCTGAGAAGTATAAAGTAATAGAGTGCACATATTAAATATATAGTGTTAGGGAGGAAATTTTGATATGAGCCAGCGTATTAACTCAACACTGGCCTTACTAAAATATCGAGGTTTGTGTCCCCTCGGATTCATTCTGACACTAGACTTTGTAACGAAAGCACGTCATTCGCGCCAAAGGATTGTAATTAATAATGTCTAAAAAAGTTACATACTGCTGAGTAGTAATGGTTGAAGAACTCTGATCAGATTCACTGGATAAAGTCGGTGATGGTTTATTTTGGCAATTGCAACTTATTATTGCAGATTTCAGTTCACTCACGAGTAGCGCTGCAAAAGACATAGGGTAAAGGCATACAAGGTAAGCTACAAACGGTCAACTTCAAGCATTTATAAAGAACAAAATTGATGATCGCCTTACAATAAAAGTCCAAGCTGTTGATACCCTGTTTACATTTAAAGTACGTTTAAGGGGACTCTTAATTTAAGAATACAAAAAAAAACAAATTTCACAAACAACAAAGTAAAAACCTCTGTATAAAAATCTCTGTTGTTAGTAAAGCTACAGATACCTTTTTGGAACCAATATGAAAAATATATTAAGTAAACTTTGATAAATGTCATAATTTTCCATTTGTATAATAACCAACGCACATGTGATTTTAAATTACCTTAGGTTTCTGACACCAAAATCTCTGTAATAAACATATCGTCGTCCCTGTCATTATCGTTGTTAAGGCAGAGATAAAACATATTTTAAACGAACATTTTGAACTCGGAAACCCACCGTTAAAAATGGATGAATTATGACAGTGTGACTTTACTTGAAATTGTATAACATAAAATGACACATATTCTTACCCGAAATGAAGAATGCAATCAATTTAAAAGGGTACATTTTTAAATATTAATTATGTCGAATTTAATGTTCACGTATCTTCCGAGTTTACAAGAATGGTTCTACTACAATAGGAATATATAGTAAAAATCTAGGACAAAGCTTATCAAAAACAAGGTCCCTTTAAATCTGTAATTATTAAGGTTTAGGAAAAATGTTTATTATTTACTAGCTATTGCCCGCAACTCCGTCTGCGCGTATTTGAAAAAAAAAACTTAATAAGTAGTCTACGTGTTCTTCCAGACTGTGTGCTATATGTATGCCAAATTACATCGATATCCATTTAGCCGTTCCGGAGATACCTTCTAACAAACCATCCATCATTCTAAACTTTCGCATTTATAATATTAGTAAGATCAGTGTCTAGTGTTTTGAAACCAAATGTGTCATATATTATTAGCCTTGTACAAATTAATTCCACGTGGTGGTGGTGTCCTCATTTTGTTTGTCTATAAGTAAACTTCAATGTCTTTTGTTTTAATTACCGCTATCTCTATTCTATTATAAAGACTTAAAAAGCCTTGGCAATACTGCACCATATACTCCTAAATAAAAATATTTACTTTATTTTCAAGAGCTTTGCTTATAGAATGATGGTGCCATGTAATTGCTAAGACGTAATTTCTCTGACTCGTAAAATCTGAAAGTTTCTTATGGGCAGTTAAGAGTTTAGATGCATGGATGTTAGTTTGAAAGTATTTTATTTCTGGAACGGCTCAATAGATTTTGATGAAATTTTGCATCTATGGAGAAAATAGTCTAGTCTAACAAAAAAGAATAGGCAATTTTTTTTGTTTATTTTTTCAATTCTTTGCGACTAGGATAGCTATTTATGTTTATTATCGGATCAATTTCTTTGGATACAAATTCGTTCGGAAAATGTAGCGCATAGCGCCATCTAGTCACCGTAGCCAAAAATCGTTAACCGCCACGTAAAAATGAAATTTTGTTGTTAAATTTTTCTTAATGAAGATGGCGTAAATTTTGAATTTAAGCATAAATCAAAATTATTTACACACCGTGGTCCAATCAAAACTTTTAATTATATGTTTTTCTTTGTTGCCATTTCATTTTTAAACACAACTTGAGAAAGTTGTATAACATTACTTTGTAAGTTACGAAAAGTTCTTTCCTTTCCAAACATTTCTTGGAAAAGTGACGTACAAATCCGATAAAGAACAAGATTTCGTACCACTACGTCTAAGTAATGTGAACCGCTGGTCGGTTCATATTACTTAGACGTAGAATCTTATATCATTTTACTTGGAATTCAATGATAGTTCTTGTACGATACAAACCTTACTACACCATTCATATTTTATACGAGGCACTTCGTTACATCGAATATATTGTAAACTTAAACCCTAGCTATCCTTACTTAAGTCTTAAAGTTCGCAATCAGAAACATAAATAAAAGATATCTTTTCAGCAAAGTCGGGGGCGAAAGATTGTCGTAACTTAACATTTTCATTCACACGTGTCTTTTTTTACTATGACAAGTGTAATATAAGAATAACAAAAGTTTCAAATGCCAAACAAGACTATATACAATAAAATGCAGTCATTTCTTTATTTCTCTTTGAAAAAATAGATGTAAAATAGTTTATTTTAATTAATTATCTTTGTTTATAATTATTATAGCTACAATCAGGGCAATTCGCGGTGTACCACTTTTAAAAGGTAGCAGAGATTGCGCAAATGACGGCTTTATAGTAAAAAGCAATTAGTCGTGTTCGACAGATCGACCTTTTTTCGTGCAGACAAATTAAGAAGCTGTATCCTATTAGATTCCGCGTCGTCATCGATTCCCCGATAGTCTAATTGCCGATGCAACCTGGAAATGCTAAAAGATCATAGTTAAGGCGGTTCAACTGAAGCGTTCGAAAACAGGTTCAACAAAAGTTCGACAACTTTCGTTAAAAGATATTATTAAAAACGGCTACAGTGTTGTACATTCCGATGTCGGCACCAAACTATGGATATTTTTCTGAAGATCTTTGAACTGTCAGAGGTCTTACTTGAACAAGGGCAGACTTGCGCCTGCTGTATCGACCGTGTAGACGCTAGAGTTGGGCTTTACTGTTATCGATAAAAGACAGTACAACAGAAGAATGGTTGTGTATCGAATCAAATTTGATATTTAATTATAGAGTATACTATTCGATTTAAATAAGATAACTTCTATTGGTACTGCTGGACGAATATACAGGACTGCTGCATATAAATGTTTAAGATTGCTGGTGGATCAGGCATTAATTTCTTGTCTTGTAATCTCCAAGTCCTGGATTTGAATCCCGTCGTGTACCAATGTGTTTTTTGATTTTGTATTTGCATATGTAAATTTATCTGACGTTCATACGATGAAGGAAAACATCGGGATGCAACCTGAACACAGAAGCGAAGAAATTCGAATTCAACCAACCCGTACAGAGCCAGCATGGTTGACTATTGCCTATTCACCTCTGACTTCGGGTAGGCTCCGAGCCGCTCAGTGGAGACGTATAATGAGGTAATGTAAATGAAATTTTGAATATTTAATAAACACTTAAAATCTAAAACTGCGTGAGTCGTAAAAGTCTACTGCCTAAAAATATGTTATAGTGCAAAACAACTACCTAATTCAATGTTTTAAAGTAAATGTTTCAGCAGTCCGAACTCACGGAAAGAAAAAAACAAAATTATCGATATAGAAAGCCATGCCTGAAAAAGCTCTATTGCTTATATGGCGGCATAGTGACGCGTCAGTGGACCCGCGACAGACGCGCGGGCGGCGTCTGCACGCGGCCTCACGCCGCGCTAACGCCAACACAACCACAAGTCACCACAAAACACCATCATGGGTCAAACTGCTACCGTCGAAGCCATTGACAACAATGAAGAACCTCGCATTCACGTCAACCCCACTGAACAGTCGCTGGTAAGAAAATGTAAGACTAAGATTGTATTGTGACTGAAGACATCAACTTTTACCTTAATTTAGATCATCAAAGATCTTGAAAACTTTACTATTTTTGTAGTTTTTGGTTTATAATTTTAAGTATTTATTATCTGTACAAGTATCGGTGAAAGAACAAGTGTTACATAAATCGAACCGCCCCCATTTATTCATTATTTAGCTTTCCACATAAGCTTAGTATTTTCCAATTTTAACAATATTAGTACTTAAAACACAAATGTGTTATGGGGTAGTAGTAATACATATTATTTGAACAAAGTTCTTACATATGTACGAAAATGCCGCAGTGCTAGTAGTTAGTGTGTTGCATTGATAAAATTCACATCGTCATATAATCAATGGCCTATTTTACAAATAGTGGACATTATTACACAATTTAGTTCGTCTTTTGTCATATCAACGTATTTCTCATTCGTGTTTTATTAAATTTTGTTTTTTTTTCTTTCGCATAAATTCAAAAATGTTTAATTAAAAAAATAATAACGGAGATACACAATTTCCAATCTAGAAAGAATCATAATCATTAGATATGCAATTTTTTTTTGTTTTTCTGACATTGATCCAATTTTCCCGCCACGAATCATTCAAGTCGCGTCTCTATGTACGCACTTGGCGAGTTGGTAGCGCGAGTTTGTTAACAGTTGTCGGTCCGGCGGCGTGAGATGCGCACATGTTTAAAGTTTGCGTGATCTTTGTATAAAACGAAACGTTCAACAGCTGTCGTAGGCAATTCAAGCTTATGAAACAAAACATTAAAATCATTTTTCTTGTATTTTTGTAAAATGTTTAGTTAACAATTAAAATTCTATTTCAACGTTTTTAGGTTTCTACAATATTTTTTGTAACCTATGTCAGGTTATCATTATGGGCCTGTGATTAGTTATTATTCTAAAACCATTTTATGGTGTCATCGTTGTATGATGTGTAATTAATTATTGTTTAGTTAAAAACACTGAGTGGCAACATCAAGTGAAATTTGTATATCAGTGCAAAGACTCATACATTCAAAATGTCTAAAGTATCCCTAAACAATGTGCCATCAAACCCTCGTATTAACCGCCTCAGAACATTTTCCAGGGTAAGTTTTATTGTTTTTATGCATCTTATTTTAATGTTTTTAAAATGTAATAAAATGAAGATAGCTTTGAGGTTATGTTTAATTGACCTTCATAGTGGTCGTTTATTGACGATTAAAAAAGCAGTTGTCCCATAGAGGTTTTAAATAAAGCACAAATTATTAAACTGCAATACAACTCTATTATAAGTGTAAATTCCTGTGAACTATATATAGTTCACAGAAATTTACATGTATGTATATAGTTTCATTATTAACATTAGTTTAATATTCGTTATTATTTTTAATTGGTATTCTGTGAATAAATAATTATACTTCAAAATAATTCACAAATTTTGCATTTTACTTATAATTAATTTAAAAATTAATTATCTATTTTACCATAAATATGTTTTACTAAGACAAGTCTTTCATAGATGCATACCCTGTAACCTGTAAACATCAAAACAACTTACAGACTTATGTTGCCCTCCGCACTAAAATAAATGCTTAAAACAATATTAGATACATTGATTAAATGGTGAAATATTAACACCAACTACAATATAACTGTGTATCAACTCGTCTAATTTATGGAGCTACTAGCCGCACAAAGTTCTCCCGTTGCCTTTGTAACCAGTAAGTTACAACTTTAGTTGTTAAAAAGCACTCATTACCTACATAGAGCAACAAACAACATTTTTTGAGTATTAGTAATTAGATGACAAACATACTCTTTGTTAAAATAATAATAATAAGACATTTAATCCATTCAAAGACATTACAATTTTACAATAGAATTAAAAACACAGAAAAAAAATCAATAAACATCACTTATATGGTAGAAATTAGGCATATTATATATAGAAGTCATAATGATATTTACATAGAAATAATTATCTGTCATTCACATATTTCTTAGTAATATTTCTTAACGGTTAATGGTCCTGATCATTAACATATTTACCCCATTCAGTAATTATGTTTACTATCCTTAACTATCTCCCAGTTACTTTGTGTAATTACTTATCCCTTTTAAATTCATAATAAGTACAAATACTGATTTTTGATTAATTACTATAATGATGTATGTTATCCAAATAAAACATAATATAATTTTATTAATTATATTTTATGAATTTGTTTTTAAAAATCATACCGCAGGTTTCATATTATGTGAATCTTACATTTTTATTCTTCATTGATTTCTTTTTACAAAAAAACAACTTGAGCGATGAATCTATTATATTGTTGTTTGTAACTCAGTCTATGTAAAATACATACTATTAAGTACCTATGTGTACTTCCAAACTATGTTTTATATCTATACCAAATTTCTCTAAAACCGTTGAGGCGTTCTGGGGATATCTTCTAACAAACATCCATCCATTCATCCAAACATTCACATTTTTCATATTAGTAATATAGAAACTGTAGGGATAACAAAAAAACATAAACTACAATCCGTTAACTTAAATTTCTATAAAACGAATCAAAATGTACAATGTATGTGCTTTGTTTTTTGCCCATATATAGGTCAATTATAACACTAATGCTAAAATATGTCAATGTCAATCTAAATGTGCGGACTGTGATATCGGTGTATTTACTGGATACAGAAATTTTGTTGTAGGTTAAATCAATTAGCAACAATAAATACAGGCCTAGGTTTTTTTTATTTTAAGTATATATATAGGTTTGGGATATAAAAACTTTGATTGATTTCATTAAAGTGGAGAATAAATGATTGCATGGACAATTTTCTGCACTACAACAAATATACTCTTACAATTTGTAAATTAAGATTTGTTTAGTTATTGATAGTTTGTTAAAAGTTCGTTCTCAACGACCTCGAAGTCGCGGCATCGGCTAGTAAATATTCATTTACATGCATACTATAATTTTCCAAGTCTCACTACTATATAAATGAACATGAATATTCGTCGATGAACACCTCGGTGTGTCCACAAAAAGTTTTCACCATTCTCTTTAAAAAATTATTACATGATAGATTATGAGTCATCATATGATTATCAAGTTCACGGAACACGCGGAAGATGATCTTTGTGATGTGAGCGATTAATATAATTACATAAAATATAACGAAACAGCAACAAAGTAATAAATCAGTTTACCCAGTTCAGCTCGACAAACACAAGGAAAGTATACAAATATGCACAAGTAGCTTTATCTTATGCCTTTATCAAACCATTGTGACCTTGATTACAAGTAGATTATAGTCTCCATACGTGTTATGCATAGATAAACTATGAAATCAGATGCGTGGCAAGAAAAAACATATTTCGTGAAGTAGAGAAATGATATGCAACATGCCTATTCTATTTTCTTTTAATATTTTCTCTTTTTATATTCTGTTTTTAAGCGATTGAAGTCGCGATCATTCGACTTTTTTATGTTTGTTACCTGTGAAATTCACTTCTGGTTCGCTTATCGAATGCTAGTGTAAGTCGTTTGGTCCTTTGTCGTCTGAACACCATCTTTTACCCATAAAAACTAATTTCGAAGAATTTTATACACGTCAAAATATAGAGATCTCGGTAGGTAGTGTATTAAGATATTAAGCGGTAATAGGTCTTATAATATTATAACTTTATGAAAGTTAAAGAAAGAAGCAATGTACTTCTTTGTTGCTAACGTCCGACTTCGAGCAATAACCTTCACATTTAAAGCTTTTGAAATCTTTAACAAGGACTTCAAATCGTGGAACGCAAGGACGTGAAAACTGTTAAAACTATTACGTGTTAACGTAGTTTATTCATAAATATGTTCGCGTTAATTGAAAATACGACTAAATTTTTCCACGTAAACAACCGTTGCAAGATTATAAAAAAGTTTGAAAAAAAAGCTGGCTCGTTAATACTCATCGTTAAAATAAGCTACATTGTTTTGTTTCAAACTTTAGTCTAAAATAAATGCCAAATACTCATCATTGTTTGAACACTGGACCGTCTATATCTAGCACCAAGTACAAAACAGCACTAATAACTGAAATTACGCCAAAACAACGTTGGTATAGGTAATGTATTATTAAATACAGTACAGTCACCTGCATAAATATGTTCAGAAAGCTTCAGAAACTAATATACGTCATCGGACTCCAAAATATGTATACACGTATCCGTCCGTATTGGTACTACCATATAAACGTGGTAATGACGAATATGTGCATACGTATTTTTGTATCTGAAACATATTTATGCAGCTGACTGTACAGTCAGGGTTCAGTGGTTAGCTAGCACTTTGTAGTTATTGATGACGACAATGTTAACCAATATTTGTAATGTTTTTTTTACCATCTCCTGGAAAAAAAACGAAGCTCGTATAGGAGGATTTCTCGCTGTTAGATTCCATTTATATTTTAATTTTAAATGGTATCTTATGAATGGTTAGTTGAAAACCTAAAGACTTTTTCAATTGTATTGTGGACGGCAATGAATGATTAATGCTGGCACGCTTTACTTTCTTGCCTGGTCGCGACCCAATTTACACAGGTACAAACTGTTCTAGCGCAATGCTGATGTTTCATGTAATTTATGATATGATAACTAAAAAAAAAACTTTATTACTAACCTACGTGTTATTCCAAACTATATTCTACATACATGCCAAATTTAACCGAGATCCTTTAAGCCGTTCTGAAGATATTTTCTAACAAATATTCATCCATCTTTACATCCAAACTTACCACTTACCTATAATATTTGCGATTGATAACTGTTGGATAACTCTCATGATTCATCATGACTAGGTATAATCGAGTTTGACGCTGAAAATGCGGTTAGGTCTATCTTTTATAGAAACATATGTTCTAACTCTTAAGATGGCATTCTACGTTATTCGATCTTAAATTGAAAGCAAATATTTTTTGACTATAGTACAATTGAAGCAGAGTCGGTCGGGTCGAGCTATCATTTTTATAGCTATGTCGATAATGAAATGCATAAGACATTATGGCAGCCATCCTAAGACAATTTTAAAGGTAAATTTGTTATATTCTCTTATCTACTTTTACATTGAACTATTAGGTACTTTTGTGACATTCATCACGATGTCGGGTGCGAATTTCACTCAAATTAGTATTTGTTATATTTGGGACCTGAACTGTCCATTATATTGCCAATAGCTATTTCTATTTTTATCTACAATAAGGATTAGCGACAATGGCTTCATAATGGCTTTTGAGATTTCAGAATTTGTATATTTTTAATCTAAAAAATGTTGCATTCGTCTGTTAAATAAAAAAAAATGAAACCGCGACACTGGCTGCGAAATAGAAGAGGATTTGACAGCTTTCATTCACAAAAATACTTCTCAGGGTTTAATGAAAAATTTCGCATTTTTCATTATATTATTTTTTATAATCTCGTACATATTTATATTGCAACATCGTGAATAACATTAAATATTATCTTTTGCTTTAAAATCGATATTTTTGTACATTGCGTTAAGTTCTTAAAGCAATCGCAATGAGAACATGTCAGAGGTTAGAAATCAGGATAGAAATATTAAGTATCAATCTTTATTCAACAACATAGGACCCCGAGTCATTTCTACGTCGAAACAATTTAATTATCAAGTGGTACAAATATTTGGCTTAGAAAGCGAAATGTTTGCCGAGTATTGGATGATGCGAGATGTTGCCAATCTGGCGAATCTGATACATTTACAAGTGCATAGAGATGAGCGGGCAATTATATAACATTGGGCATTTGGCCAGGTCTTATTGCATGCATCAAGAGATATAATGTTTGAATTAGGTTGATTGCCTGCGGATGTATGCAAGATAAACGCCTATTACAGGACATCGCGTTTAGTTGAACTAAACACTCGTGTCCGGGTCGTTTTAATTATTACAGCTTAAGGTCACCGGATCTGGTTGTTTAAATGCTTTATTAGTGTGTTTGTGTAATACCTTAATGTCTTAATGTGTTGATAGATTATAGTGTTAATGTACTTTTTATGTAGCTAGCTGAAGTCAGAATGCATTGCACTATCAAGTTGAC